CCTTTTGTGACTGGGATATTTCACTCAGCATAATGTTCTCCAGAGTCAACCATTTTGAATAATATTGCATGAGTCCCTTGTTTTTTAATGCTATGGAATACTATGCATTAATGAGCAGACTTTTATTTTCTCAGTTTAGGAGGGTCTAGAGAAGGCTTTCTCTGTAGACTAGGAGAGGTCCTTGTCTCTCTTCAGTTTCCATTTCAAGCTCCCTGGTGGTTTTCACGTGGCATAGCAGCTGCCTCCCCTCATCTCTGCATGCTTTCATGCCTAATCTGTTCCTTTTTAATCTCAAAAGTGACTAATATAAAACATATTCCCCATAAAGATACCGTAACATTAATACTCTTTCTGTCCTAGATTCAGAACCAACTCAATGGAAGATTCCATGGAGTTTTCGAGGCTGAAAATCTCACAGGAGGAGATTACCCATCTTTCTCCTGAGGAATCACTGGCGGATTTGAGCTCCCAGAGAGGCTCAGCTTTTGGATTAGCTGTACAACTTCTTATGGACCTGGCCTCCAGGAAACCCTTATTTTAGATGGGATTGCATCCACATTCGAAGGGTTAAGATTTATAACAGATCTTATATTTTTAATTTGAGAGAAAAATTTACAAATCTGATTAGTTTTAAATTGCTGTTGTTGTGTGTGTCATCGAGTCACCTGAAACTCATAACAACCCAGCTCTGAAGCCTGCCTTGTCCTGAGCCAAGCTCACTGACTCCGACACATCTACCCTATTGCCCCAGGTACTATATCAATTCATCTTATCTGGGGTCTTCCTCTCCTGTGCTGTCCCTCCACCTTTCCAAGCAAGATGTCCTTCTCCAAGGACTGGTCCCTCCTGGCCATGTGCCCAAAATATGTGAGGTGGAGCTTCAGTATCCTAGCTTCTAAGGAGAAGCTTGGTTTTACCCTCTCCAAGACAGACCTATTTGTTTCTTGGCAGTCCATAGTACTTTCAAGACTCTTGAAAGCATTGCAACTCAAAGGCATCATTTACTCTTCTGTCATCCTTAGTCATTGTCCAGCTCTCTGATGCATAGCAAGCAATTGAGAAGATCATGGCCTACTACTGATTAATGTCAGCTATAATGTTTAATCAATCCTGTATTATTTACTGCCTTTCTCTCCACTCAATTTGTCTACTTATTAATTTTTACTCTCCCTATGTCCCTTGCTACCCTTTTAACTCACTAAGATTGATTGTGTGTGCAAACCTTCCCTTAGGTTTTTATTGTTATTATCTTCGGCCATAATTGTCATTGTGTGACTAACTTATGTCACTCAGAATAATCTTTTCTGGCTTCATCCATGTTGTTCAGTAATTCACAAATTCCTGATAGTTTTTTTGGTGGTATATAATTCTCCATTGTGTGAATATACCATAGTTTCTTTAGCCATTTGTCTACTGATAGACACTTGGGTTATTTCTAAATCTTTACTATTGTAAATAACGTAATGCACGTGAGTGTCCATATAGCCTCTTGTGTTGTAGCTCTTATTTCCTCGAGATATATGCCTGGTTGTAGAATTACTGGACTCACTGGTATTGCTGTTCCCACCTTTCTAGGCAAGCTCTAAATGGCTTTTCATAGTTGTCACACCATTTTACATCCCTACCAGCAGTTACAGCACATAGTTTTTGTGTCAATTCCCAAAAGGACAAGAAGCTCTCATTTTTTTTTTTCCTGCTAGAGATTAGAAGACAGGACTGGTCACCTAGTCTGTGGGTCCCAATTGTTGATGTTGTTATGTGCTGACTAGTCAACTATGACTTATAACAACCCTATTAATGCACAATAACTCTGAGCCCTGCTCTATCCTGAGCCACTCTCACTGTCTTTGAAATACCTACAATCATCATTCTAGTTACTGCAGTTATTGTGTCAATCCATTTCATCCTGGGTTTTCCTCTCCTGTGCTGTACCTCAGCATTTCCACCCATGATATCCTTTTGCAAAGACTGGTTTCCCCTGGCTATATGACTAAATTAGATGAGCTGGAGTCTCAAAATCCTTGCCTCCAAGGAGTAGCTTGATTTCACCTTCTTCAGCACAAACTTGTTCATTCTCTTGGCAGTCCATGGTATTTTCAAGACTCTTCTCCAGCACCACAACGCAAAGGTATCAATTCTTCTTCTGTCATCATTGGTCATGGTCCAGCTGTCTGATACACAGAAAGTAAAGACCATGGCCACATAAAAATGTTGGGTTTCTTGTTCAAGTACTATTAAGATTTCCAAGATTGACAGCATTAAGCTCTCTTAATTAAGTTATGAGTCCCTCTGACATAGGGTCTACATGATTGCACATGTTGAATGTGAAGCTGTATGGTAACGGGTTGTATATTTATAGTATGTCCAGAGCTTCCAGTCACACACTTTGGAATTTGAATCTCAGTCTGCTTTTTGCTGGACAGGTGATCTTGAACAACTGATCGTTCTCCAAGCTTCAGTTCCCTTATGTTGTTGTTGTTGTTATGTGCCATCGAGTAGCTTGCGACTCATAACGACCCCATGTTGAACATGAACATTAGGGCTTTTGAAGAGCCCTAAATCCTGCTCTATGCTGTGCCAACCTCACTGTCTCTGACACACTTACTCCCACCACCCCAAACGATCCATCTCATCAAGGGTCTTCCTCTCCTGTGCCATCGCTCCATTCTCCCAAACATGATGCCTCTCTCCAAGGACTGGCCCTTCCTTGAAACATACCCAAAGTATGTCAGGCAAAGCTTCAGAATCCTTGCCTCCAAGGGGCATCCCAGCTTCACCCTCTCCAGGACAAACCTGTTTGTTTTCCTAACAGCCCGTGGTATATTCAACACTCTTCTCCAGCACCACAGCTCAAAGGCAACAATTCTCTTTCTATCATCCCAAGTCACTGTCCAACTCTCTGATGCATAGCTCAGATCAGGTGCACCTTAGTCTCCAGCCTGACATCCTTGCTCTTCAGTACTCTGGAGAGGTCCCTGACAGCTGACTTTCCCAGTGCAATTCATTTCTTGATTTCCTTTTTTTTTTTTTTGCAGGAAGGAGGATTTAATGAGCGCCCTCCCAGGCAGTCAGCGCGAGGCCTGCTTCCCCTTGTCCACCTTCTGCCCCTTCTCTGCCTTCTTTTTCTTCTGCTTGGGTTTCTTGGCCTTGTCCTTGGTACTCTTTTGCTCCCCCGACCCAGCAGCGTGGGGCTTAGATTCAGCCTCTGAGTCACTGGAGCTGCTGCTGTTGTGCCTGGGCTTAGCAGCTACTCCCGCTACTGATGGGCCATGGACTTTGGAGGGGCTGTGTTTGGGGTCCCCTCCATTACCTGGCCCTACCAGTTTCTTGGAAGTGGGGTCCATAGCTGCTGCCAGGTCGAACTCCATGGTGGCAAGTGAAGGTGTGTGCAGGGACTGCTGGTATCAAGAGTGTTTATCATGGAGCCAAGCAAACTAAAACTGTTAACTAGCTCAATCTCTTCACCATCCATCCTGATGCTTTCAATTGGCCCAGTGGTAACAATCTTCGTTGTCTTGATGTTGAGCTCCAATTCGTATTGAAGGCTACAGTTCTTGACCTTCTGCAGCAAGCGCTTCAGGTCCTCCTCAGTTTCAGCAAGCAGGGTTGTGTCATCTGCATAACGCAGATTGTTGATGACTCTTCCACCAATCCTGATGCCACATTCCTCCTCGTACAGCCCAGCATCCTGGAAGATCTGTTCTGCATACAAATTGAAAAGGTATGGAGACAGAATACATCCCTGGCAGATCCCCTTCCCAATTTTGAATCATGCAGTGTCTCCTTGCTCTGTTCTAATGACTGTCTTTTGGTCCAAGTATAGGTTTCACATGAGCACAAATCAAATGTTCTGGGATTCCCATTGTTCTCAGAGTCTGCCATTAGTGGTGCCTCAGAAGAAATGCCTGGCAATCCACTTCCAAGAAAATGAGCTATCAAAACCCTTTAGGGAGCTTATAGTCCTGACACCTCCTTCCAAGAAAGATGGGTCACCAGCTGCTCTACTAGAGTCACCCGTGAAAATCCACCAGGGTTCCCACTCTTGCCGTGTCATCTGCATAACACAGGTTGTTAATGAATCTTCCACCAATTCTGATACCACATTCCTCCTTGTATAGCCCAGAGTCAAATCTGCACTGACTGATCCACAAACACGGATTCAATATGCGCTGCCGGTGTTCCCCTCACCACACCAAGGACATCATTTTTATCAAATTGGGCTAAATGATTGATCATCCTTGAATAGTTTCCCCAAGACGTCTACGTGACAAGAAACAAGACCAAGGCTTTGTACATAAAATAAAATGTCAATTAGGACAATGTGAAAAAACCCCACAAACCCAACCCTTATAGAGCACAAGTTTCCCCTGACACGTATAGGGTTGTCAGGAGTAGCTATTGACTCCGTTGCCACAGAGGCCCAGTTGTGGGCAGTGAACCTCTTGTGAGAGGGAAGGAACATGTAAGGAGAGAAGTTCCCTGTGCCGTCTCCAGATGGCGCTATAGTCCAGGAGAGGGCGGTGTTCTCAGGTACATACAGGTGAGGTAGGGGTTTGGGGATGGGGCAAGGAGGGATTGAAGCTTAGAGGGGTAAAGCCTTGTGTCCCCACGCATCATATAGATGGTGGCACGTTTGAAAATCTGGCAAAGAAAGAGTATAATTAGTATTTTCCAACAAGAGCAAGGTATTTATTTTGATCGAGCTGAGATATGAGGACATTTGGTTTATGTTTCATACTCTAATAAAACACTGGTTTTCAATCTTGCTATAAATTAGAAGCACCTGGGAACTTTAAACATTATTGATGCCTGAGCTCCACCCCCAGAGAGTCTGGTTTATTCGTTCTGGGATGAAGCCTGGACATCAATCAGTGTTAGTAAGAAGCTGCTCAGATGATGGTTAACGTGCAGACAGGGGTGAGGAGCACTGTCTAAAACAATGACAGGCTGTTAAGATCTCTACCTGTGTACGTGCCTCTGTGGGGAGTAAGGGAGAACCTTGTCTGTTGGTGTGCCCGTAACCGGGTGGCAAATGGGTTCACATGGAGAACTACACATGGTGCTCGTGGCCCTCAGCTCTGTGCTCGGAGCAGGGCCTCTGCCTTGGCCTCAATCTCTGCTCTGCAGCCTCTTGTGTCAACGCTGAGCCACTCATGAGAACAAGACCTTACCTGTGTTGCATGAGCACCTTAGGCAAGGTGCTTGGGGCAGGACCTGGGACAGGAGGTGTTAGCTGTTGCTACTACACTGTTTTGTTAGATCTAATGAAATTTATTTTAAGGTAAAGAATCCAAGAAATTTAGTATAGTGCTGTGGATATTAAATAAGTAATAAAGAATGAGCGTGCTGCTAACAGATGAAAGTCTTAGAGTATCGCGTGCAAGGTGATTGTTAGAGAGAAGGAGATATAGACTTTTAGCAAAGCATGCAGAGCAGCTTACGGAAGACAATCAGCATACAGTTTATTGGCCAAAGTATACATTTCCTCATAGAATGCTAAGGATATGTATTGAATGATCTGACAACCCATTTAATTCAAGACTGTTTGTAACCAGTTCATCTCCCTCTCCCTCGCCCTCTCCCTCTCCCTCTCCCTCAATTGCTGTTTTAGAATCAACCCACAGCTGACACTCGAGCGGGTTTTCAGAGACAGCAAATTGCACAGGAGAAGATTGCCCATCATCCTCCTGAGAGATACATATTCCACTCATTCACTTCTTGGTGTTGAGTCCCTTCCAACTCATAGCTGACCCTCTAGCAGGTTTCCAAGGTTATAAACCACACAGGAAGAGACTGCCCATCTTTCTCTCATTGAGTAACTGGTGGATTCAAACTAGCAGATGTGCTCCACATCTGAGTTAGCAGCACAACTCCATGTATGTATGTATGCATGTATATATGTTTGTACATACGTATGTATGTATAAGACGGCACCTAATAGCAATAACAACGATGACAGAGAGTGAACTACATTGGCCTATTGGAAAGAAAGTTATGCTACCAAGCCGAAGGTGGTTGTTTCTAATCTGCGGCCTTTGGCTGGACTCAAATTGTTTTTCTGTCAAACATTCTTCTAGGTGGTATAGCACTGGTCTATGCATTGCTGTACAGAGGTAATTCGTGGTTGCTGTGATGCTGTGATATGCCAGTCGTGGTAATGGGCACCCATGGTGGACAGTGTTGGCTGGAGCTTCCCGACTAAATCAAGCCTGGAAACAGGAGTGGCATCCACTTCCGAAATGGCTTGCCTCCAGAAACTCTATGTACAAACAGTGCTCAGGCCTTTCATTCATAGGGTTGCTATGAAT